ATGGCCATTACTCAAAATTAATCTTCCAAAGGTGTGGCTTCAGCAGAGTGAATTCTAAATGGCTGCTATGGATTACTGCACCACAGAATTAGCACTTTATTCCTTGCACGCCATTGAATTATGGTTACGTGTTTTCTACTAGCAATCAGTCAAGGGAAATAGAGATTATTTATTACTAAAAGTGTTTTTTTTTATTTCCGTATACAGATATAAGTGACTTAAGCCTTTCTTCTTCTCTTGTTATACATACCTGTGTTCATTTATTCCCAACTCCAAGGATCAGTGACTGAGTTTAGCTCTGCTTGATGCTGGAGGATGCTCTAAAAATAAAAGACAAATAGCGTTTCTTATATGGTGTACATTTTTATCTATGTGCAGGGTCAAGAACAGTATGTCACAGAGTTGTAGAACAGGGAAATACATTTGCTTTATACAGGTACAAAATATATCTACCCACTTTGACCATGGGTGGGAATAAAAACAGAGCAGGTTTAACCATAGTTTCTAACAACAAATTTATTGGAAAATGGTATTTTAAGGAAGATATGTAAAATATTTGTGTACACTTTCTACCTATATTTCCACACACGGACCTCTACAGGACAGCTGGTAATGCAATACAACTACCACTCAGGAATAAAGGTACATTAGAAACAGCCTGGATCTGACACATGTAACACTCATGCAGATACTCCTTTGAGGCATGTTTGACATATTAAACCTACTGTTATTGTCCTGCCCAATAGTCACATAAGCAGTATTAAAAAAAATATATTATTGTTTCTTCAAAAACCGCCAGCAACAAAGGTGCACTTATTCATAAACATGTCTTACCTCAGGTGAGCAAGCCATGTTTTTCTCAAGTGGGTTAAGGAACAATACAAAATCAAGAATCTCCATTAGCTTGACTGAGTGTTTGAAGCAAGCTCAGGTCATTAAAGCTAATCTACAAGTTAAATCGGTCATAAAATAACCCCCCCCAAAATCCATAGTGTCTTCTAATTCTACTTAGGATCTTTATATATTTTTGTAAATGTAATTTAGAAATAACATAAACCTCTTATTTTACAATGACTATGCTTATCCCTTGTATGTTTAAATAACAAAGTAAAAAAACATACCCTGGAATTACTGAAGTAATGCATTTGTATGATATATTTCTGGGAAATGCATGCACAACATACATGCACATAACAAAACATGCTGATTTTGAGTTATGAAGAAATCAAACTGTGTCCTAAAAATATTGGGCTTTTGATCCTTCAAGTTGGTTTTAATTTGCCCCATCAAGATTTAGTTGGAGACTGATCTTTCATTGGTGGGAGCTATAACTGAACTATAGCTCCCATAATTTTTAGCCTTTCCTATCAATCTAGGAAAGGCTAAGAATTAATAAGTAGCAAATATTACTGGTAACAAATAATCAATAGCAACCAACAGAATTCAGCTCACACTAGACTGCTCATTTTAAGCTGCGTTCTGACTAGTTGCTATGGTTTACTTTACACCATTGCTTTTTAAGTCAAATGACTAGAGTCTGCAAGAATCTGGCCATCCATAAACAAGAACAGGACCACTTTAATTCACTTACTAATGATTGTTCTTCGTTTCTCTATTAAGAGGAGGAAAAGAAAGTGTCAACTCACATTCCTCCCAGTGTGTTAACAGAATGAAAGGTGAGAAGAGTTCTTAAATACCTGTCTTCAAATTTGTCACCTGCAGCTCTGGCAGAGAATCTGCTTCCATCATGACTTTCTATTCTGCAGGTGTGGCTGTAACAGTTAAACAGGACTGCTAAATTTGGAGACCTCTAACAGTTTTAGACAATCTGTTAAACCAAGGTGTTGTAACACATCTTAAAGAAAACCTCTCAGGAACACAGACTTCCTTGGCACCCTCATAAATATCAGTAATACCATCCTGTTTTAAAGGCAGAGCCACAGTTAGGTATAGGCATAAGACAATTCTGTCCAGATGTGTAGCCAATTCTTCAGCTGTACTGAGTTTTAAACAAGGAATTGTTCCATAAACACAAAGGAGTTAATGTACTTAAGGGGTATGACCGCTTACTTAGGAAAGTGAATGTTTGCTTTGCAAAAGTGAATGCATACTAGCCTTAGCAAATAACAGGAAGCTGTATCTGTAAAAAGTAAGTCAAGTCAAGGCCTTGACTTATTTTTTACAGATATACCATGACCTGAATGAATGAGAACCTTCACTCACAACATGAAACTGTGTTCACTTCAATCATCCAATCAAGCAAGATGAAAATCAAGCAACAAAATCCTGTTCTTTTTATTTTTGTTGTATGTGGTTGGGTATTCAAAGTGAACAACTTCTCCTTTTAATGGGCTCAGTAAGAATTCACTTTTTAAGATAAACATTCACTTTGATAAGTGAACAGTTTCTACACCTTTAGTAAATGTAACCCCAAAGACATCTTCTGCAGTATATTGTACATATGCATTTGAGATGGTGCTAAATTACATGGAAACAAAGGTAGGGGAAATGTAAGTGCGTATGGAGAGAGAACTATCTTTCAATTAACTCATAATAGAAAGAATTACTTCATTCAGTCAAAGTAAAACAACAACAACAACAAAAAGATTCCGCTCATTAGATAGATTTTTGGGCAACATTAGTGTTTTGCAAAAATGTTGCAGCTAAAAATGGTTTGGCAATAATCAATAGCACTGAAATAGCATGTTTTTGTGGACAGCTATGGTATGTGTAAATATAGACACAATTTAATAGAATAAAGTGTGTGTGTGTGTGTGTGTGTGTGTGTGTGTGTGTGTGTGTGTGTGTGTGTGTAAATGAAAATACACACACATATACCAATAAGTATTAATATTTACTGACGGTGGCTTTTACGTGATACCTAATTTGGTTACACTTAAGCCCCCTTGTGTGTAATTTCATTTTCACTAATTATAGCTAGAGAGGTATTATGGCGTGGGAAAGCCCTATTTGGGATTTTCACAAATCATCTTTCCCCTTGAACCAAAACCAATTAGCCTGTGCCAAGGCCCCAGCATTTAAGAAATTGCCCTCTTTTCAAGTCCACAGTTTCAATTGCTGAGAGCAGCTTGGAAGTGAATGAGTCTATCCCACTTAAAGCTCCCCTTTAGAATGACTAAGGTTATAGAACACAGGCCATCTCTATAGAGCTCAACAGGCCCTGAATGATGTAGTCCACTGACCCAAGACTTCAGCTTCATGTATCTACTGAAGCCAAAACAAATTTAGCAAACAAAGCCCCACAATCAGGCAATCAAGTACCAGGACTCCATGCCCCTCCAATTCTGCAAAGCAATCTTCCTAATAACATAGTACAGATGCTGCTGATGATCCATAAACCAACCAGAGAATGGATTCAGACCAATTGGATTTGTGATCTGTTTCACTCAAGAGCTTCCAGACAGTTAAAAGTTAAGCCTTGCCTTGTTCACAGTTGAAAACCATGACAAAAAAAATTGTGCTGCACCTTTAATTTGTGCCTTGCATGTAGGTCGCAGCAAATCACAGGATTATTGCTCCAGCGTTGGATTAGTAACGCTTGTAAATGTGGTTTAATTCTAATCACTCATGCTCTGCAACGCCCAGCCATTACCTGGGAGGCTCCCCTGAGCAATCTGCAGTCTGTCCTTTGCTAGAGAATTTCTAGTGGCAAGCAGAGCTCCGCGGGCTCTGGACAAAGATGAGACTCTCTGAACGACTTACCTACTGTAACAATAATGTGCTTATCTCCACTGCGAGGCATAGCTGCCGAGAGTAGTAATGATTGTATTTTAAACCCCGTTACATTATTCTAGTCTACCTCTAAACAGTTGCGCACTGCCTGCAGAAAGAAAGCAGGAGGCTCCTCCCACAGCCCTCCCACCACTTCGCTACTCTCCGCCTGCCTCCCAACCTCCGAGGAGCTGAGATAGACGGGGATTGAATGTAACCCTGACCCAAAGCAAAACGCAATTGCAGGACAAAATGTAAAAAAAAAAAAAAAAGGTTTAAATGTTGCCAGTTACCATACGAATGCCTAATCTTAATGCACATCATTCGGCTGAGCCTTGGCAGTCTACAATAGCTGCGGCGGAATTATGGGATCTGGTGAGCACAAGTTACTATTTCATTTAGTTTTGTTAGGATGTTGTAATTCTGATAGACCGAATTATTTATTTCTCTGATTGGAGATGTAATAGCTCAGACCAGCACATCACAATCATAGCTAAATGTATATAAAAGGGATCCAGAGAAGAGTGCACGTCGTGTATAATGTGTCTCCGCATATAGATAACATTACAATTTTAGTGGGCGATACATATATATATATATATGTGGATATATATACACACACACATACACATATAAACACACACACAACATAGAGGTTCCCATTAGCAAATAAACATGAAGTGCATGCAGGCTGCTACAGCTATTTTCTACACATCTACCATTTAACATATTCTCCCTCTTATGAATACCATCATACATCAGCTCTGATTTCCATACATCTATGTTCTTTTCGCCCTCTTATGAGTGCTATAATACATCAGTTTTGTGTCCTGTACATCTATAGCACATTGACTCTCTTACGAAGGCCATGCATGCATTAGCTCTGCGTCCTATACAAGTATAGCATATTTCCTTTCTTATAAGTGGCATTCATACATCGCCTCTGTGTTCTATAGCATTTATGAGTCCCATGAATACATTAGTTCGGTGTCCTAAAACATCGTTAGCATCTTATATCCGCTCCTATGAGTGTCATGGATACATCAGCTCCATGTGTCCTATCTGTAGCATATTCCCCTGATTTTAAGTATCATGCATGCATCACCTTTGTTTTCTACATACCTATAGCATACTTCCCCTCTTATGAAATCCATGTGTTGTGCTCTATACATCTGTTGCATATTTCTCCTCGATTAAGTGCCATGTATACATCAGCACTGTGGTTTATAAAACTATAGCATATTTCCCTTGGTAGATGAGCACCACACACATCAGCCCTGTGTCTTATACATCTATAGAATATTATCCATCTTAGTAGTGCCATATACATCGGATCTGTTTCCTCTAGCTCTAGCATATTTCCTCTCTTACGAATACCATACACACATACAGCCCTGTGTCTTATACATCTATGGAATGTTATATATCTTAGAAGTGCCATATATTTCAGATCTCTTTCCTATATAGCTCTAGCATATGTCCTCTCTTAGGAATACCATACACTACAGCCCTGTGTCTTATACATCTATGGGATGTTATCTGTCTTAGAAGTGCCATATATTTCAGATGTGTTTCCTATAGCTTTAGCATATTTCCTCTCTTAAGAATACCATGCACACGTACATTAGCTCTGTGTCTATACAACTGTGGCATGTTTGCCCTCTTAGGCGTACCATACATCTATGGTCTATCTCGCCCTCTTCTGAATACCATGCATCAGCTCTGTTTTCTATACATCTGTAACATTATGAGCACCATGCATGCATCAGCTCTGTTTTCTATACATCTGTAACATTATGAGCACCATGCATGCATGCATCAGCTCTGTTTTCTATACATCTGTAACATTATGAGCACCATGCATGCATGCATCAGCTCTGTTTTCTATACATCTGTAACATTATGAGCACCATGCATGCATCAGCTCTGTTTTCTATACATCTGTAACATTATGAGCACCATGCATGCATCAGCTCTGTTTTCTATACATCTGTAACATTATGAGCACCATGCATGCATCAGTTCTGTTTTCTATACATCTGTAACATTATGAGCACCATGCATACATCAACTCAGTTTTCTATAGATCTGTAACATTATGAGCACCATGCATACATCAACTCCAGACCACCATCTCATCTAGTAGCAAAGTTGTGAAGTAATAAAATCGGAATGGTGTTCGTCCCATGGCATGGAGGCAGAAACGTTTCGGATGCATTCTGATAGAAGAAGGCTTTGGGTGTAGCCATGAAGCCCGCACAGCTTCCTCTCTATTTCCCTGATGATCAGACAAAGCGCACTTTGACTACAAATAGCAGCTAAATGTGGCAGAAGAAAGCATGGGCGCGCTGTATTTGGTGTTGCCATGGAAACTGCATGCAGATTTCACAAATACTTTCTCATATTTATTTGCAAGATCTTGAGATGGCAAGCCCATACCCTCCCAGTTGTCGAATGCATTGTGATAGGAAAATATGTGATAAGGCAACTTGGAAAAAGGCCTAATCATTATTGTGTGAATGTAGAAAAACGCCTAAAAATGCGAGGCTACCCCCCAGAAATGTTAATATACACCGCTCCATCTTTATTCATTTCTGCTTCACTTCACTCTTCATGGAGATCCCTTTCCCTTCCGAGTAGGAGCAAACAAAGCTGACATGGTCCACTGAAATGAACAAATTAGGAAGTCCTGGAGATGGGTGGAAGACTTCAGGACACAGATAGATAGATAGATAGATAGATAGATAGATAGATAGATAGATAGATAGATAGATAGATAGACATATATAGATAGATATCTATATATAGACATATATAGATAGATATCTATATATAGATATATATAGATATCTATCTATATATATATATACATACTCTTTACAGCAAACACTGTATGCTGTGGTACATCATTAAACTAATAAACCGAGTAAAAAAGAGATAACGTGTGTGCTATAACAGGATAAATGGGTCCTACTTAGAAAGAATGGGCTTACCTTTGTTACGTCAGAGTAGAATGTAAAGTCATCATGCATGGTATGTTCTTCTCCTCTATGACGTCACGGAAGTTATTCCTACTTTCGGTTATCTAGCTTTATGACGGCTGATTTACACTCATACAGCTAGATAACCAAAGATAGAAACAAACTCCCCAACTTGCTGCCAGCCTGAATGCCACCACTTCGCCAAAGCCAGTATCTGCCAGGAGAAGAAGAAAAAAAAGATCCATTAAAAGTAAGTAGGCCCTGGTGGTCAGAGGGATCTGCTCATCATAGATGCCTATAGGTACCTGGGTGGCTCTTCCCTACAGGAGAAAGCAGGCCATACGCTGCTGCACACAGATGATGAGAGCCAGTGAGCTCTCTGCCTCCTATCACTAATAATAATAGGCTTGATGGAAGTGTGACATTATTATGGCCACCCAATGGGAACAAAGATATTTAAATTTCCCCAACTTCCCGCTCTTTTACCCAAAGATCTAGCACTTTATGGAATGTGCAGCAATAAAGTTCATACTGCATTGATTGACCGGGTCAGGACCCCCCACACACACCAATCCATGCAAAATA